GGAGTTGTGGCAGGCGCCTGTAGTCCCAGGTACTCAGAGGTTGAGGCAAGGGGATTGCTTCAGCCCAAGAGTTTGAGGTTGCTGTGAGCTGTGATGAGGACACAGCACTCTACCCAGGACAACAGAGTGAGACTCTGTCTCATAAAAAAAAAAGAAAGAAAGAAAGAAAGAAAAAAAAAGAAAAGAAAAAAGGTGTGTGTACACACATACACACACACACATATATATATACACACATATATGAAATACCTGAATCTTCAGACTGTTCTTTTTCTTTTAAAGTAACAGCTTTGGCTTGGCACCTATAGCTCAAGCGACTAGGGCGCCAGCCACATACACCAGAGCTGGTGAGTTCAAATCCAGCCCAGGCCTGCCAAACAACAATGACAACTCAACCAAAAAATAGCCAGGCATTATGGTGGGCACCTGTAGTCCCAGCTACTCGGAAGGCTGAGGCAAGAGAATCACTTAAGCCCAAGAGTTTGAGGTTGCTGTGAGCTGTGATGCCATGGCACTCTACTCAGGGTGACAGCTTGAGGTGCTGTCTCAAATAAATAAATAAATACAAAATTTTTAAAAAGCTTTACTGTGATATAATTTATATCTCATAAAGCATAAATTTGTGTGCAATTCAATGATATTGTATTTACAAAGCTATGCAACCATCCTTACAATTTAATTTTACAATATTTCTATCACATTCACACAGGAAAAAAAAAGCTTGTACCCATTTATACTCACTCCTGTTCCATACCTAGCCCCAGGCAAGCACTGATCCAGACAACCTTTTCTTTTTTTTTGAGACAGAGTCCCACCACTATGTCACCCTTGGTAGAGTGCTGTGATGTCAAAGCTCATAGCAACCTCAGACTCTTGGGCTTAGGCGATTCTCTTGCCTCAGCCTCCCTTGTAGCTGGGACTATAGGCACCTGCCACACTATTTTTTTGTTGTTGTTATTGCCATTGTTGTTTAGCTGGCCCAGGGTGGATTCAAACCCACCAGCCTCAGTGTATGTGGCTGGCGCTGTAACCACTGTGCTATGGGCACTGAGCCAATCTTTTCTTTTTTATAATTATTCCGATTTTTTAGAAGGATGACTTGATGATCTGAGAAGTTAAATAACTTCTCCAAGATCTTAGGGCTAATGAATAATGTAGTCGGGGTAGAATCTAAGGCTTTTGCATCCCAGTCTAAAGCTCTTTCCACTAAAGGATGATGCCTTTCTTTCACCATTATTATTTTGCCTTTCTTCCCACTTCCTTTAGAGAAACTCCCCTTTCCCAATCCACTCTCTTGCCTCCTGAGATTTTCCTGGGTCTAAGGAAGCAGTACAGCAATCTTTGTCCCTGGAAATTCTTCCCCATGGCCAGGATCTCAGGAGGTGCCAGGCCAGTTTGCGGCTTGGTATAGGTTAACGGTCTGTTTCTCCACTCTTCCCAGGCAGTCTTGGGGTGGGCCCCAGGCTGTGTTCCGGCCTCTCTTCCGCCAGCTTGGGTGGAAATGGTGACGGAGATGATGCAGTTCAGGTCCGGAAGGGTGGAAGCTAGGAGGGTAAATTTAGTAACTCCATGGCTGAGGCCTTTGGGACCCACTGCCAGAGTCAGACACTCCTTGTAATCCTGGCTCCTGCCCCCACTTCCTTTCCAGGTCACCTAGGAGATGGCTGGAAGAGAAAGTGGAGGGACATCCTGCCTTCCTGGGTCTGCCGCCTCACCCCTTCACCACCCTCTTCTCAACTTTGCCTAATAACATTTCAGCAGCCAATGGGAAGTTTCTCACCTTAGCAAGTTGACACGGGTTAGGCATGTGAGTATACAGTACACAAACTTCTTTTTTTTTTGAGACTGAGTCTCAAGCTGTTGCCCTAGGTAAAGTGCCCGTGGTGTCACAATTCATAGCGACCTCAAACTCTTGGCCTTAAGTGATTTTCTTGCCTCAGCCTCCCAAGTAGCTGGGATTACAGGCACCCACCACAATACCCCGCTATTTTTTTTGTTGTTGCAGTTGTCATTGTTGTTTTAGCTGGCCCAGGCTGGGCTCAAACCCGCCAGCCTCAGTGTATGTGGCTGGCACCCTATGGGTGCCACCTTTTTTTTTTTTTTTCTTTTTTTGAGAGAGAGAATCTCAAGCTGTTGTCCTGGGAAGAGTGCTGTGGCATTATAGCTCACAGCAACCTCCAATTCTTGTGCTCAAGCGATCCTCTTGCCTTGATTTTTTTTCTTCTATTTTTAGTAGAGATGGGCTTTGCTTCTGTTCAGGTGGGGATCTCACTCTTGCTCAGGTGGGTCTTGAACTCATGAGCTACAGGTGCCACCTTTTTTTTTTTTGAGAGAGAGAGTCTCAAGCTGTTGCCCTGGGAAGAGTGCCATGGCGTTATAACTCACAGCAACTTCCAATTCTTGGGCTCAAGTGATCCTCTTGCCTCAATTTTTTTTTCTTCTATTTTTAGTAGAGATGGGCCTTGGTTCTGTTCAGGTGGGTCTCACTCTTGCTCAGGTGGGTCTTGAACTCATGAGCTACAGGTGCCACCTTTTTTTTTTGAGAGAGAGAGTCTCAAGCTGTTGCCCTGGGAAGAGTGCCATGGCGTTATAACTCACAGCAACCTCCAATTCTTGGGCTCAAGTGATCCTCTTGCCTCAATTTTTTCTTCTTCTATTTTTAGTAGAGATGGGCCTTGGTTCTGTTCAGGTGGGTCTCACTCTTGCTCAGGCTGGTCTCGAACTCATGACCTCAAGCAATCCACCTGTCTCAGCCTCCTAGAGTGCCAGGATTATAAGCAAGAGCCACCACAACTGGCCCACAAACATCTTTTCTCACATTTCTCAGATACTAATAACATGAGCCGGGGGGAGAGAGATGGGTAGTGGGGTGGGGGGTAAGGAAATTTAAATTCTGGCTCTGGAAACTATTGTACCCTGGTTCTAAGGGCCCTAAGCTTCCTCCCACACTAAGCCAGTTAAGAACTTGAGAGTTGGCTTGGTGCCTATAGCACAGTGGTTATAGTGCTGGCCACATACAACGAGGCTGGCAGGTTCAAACTCAACCCGGGCCAGCTAAACAACAATAACAACTGCAATAAAAAAGAGCTGGGCATTGTGGCGGGCACCTGTAATCCCAGCTACTTGGGAAGCTGAGGCAAGAGCATCGCTTAAGCCCAAGAGTTTGAGGGTGCTGTGACACCAACGCACTCTACTGAGGGCGACATAGTGAGACTGTCTCAAAATTTAAAAAAAAAAAAAGAACTTGACTGGCTTGGCGCCTGTGGCTCAAGCAGCTAAGGTGCCAGCCACATATATCTGAGCTCGTGGGTTCGAATCCAGCCTGGGCCTGCCAAACACCAATCACAGCTGCAACCAAAAAATAGCTGGGCGTTGTGGTAGGCACCTGTAGTCTCAGCTACTTGGGAGGCAAAGGCAGGAGAATCGCTTGAGCCCAGGAATTAGAGGTTGCTATGAGCTGTGATGCCACGGCACTCTACCCAGGGTGACAGCTTGAGGCTCTTGTCTCAAAAAAAAAAAAAAGAACTTGAGAGTTAAGAACCCAATATTCCTAGTATTAGTTACATGAATGTTTATAGCTCATCTATGCTTTCTTTTTCCTTCTTTCTTTCTTTTTTTTTTTTTTTTTTTTGAGACAGAGTCTCACTATTTTGCCCTTGGTAGAGTTAGAGTTCTTTGGCATCATAGCTCACAGCAACCTCTAACTCTTGGGCTCAAGTGATTCTCTTGCCTCAACCTCCCAAGTAGCAGGGACTACAGGCGCCTGCCACAAGGCCTGGCTATTTTTTTTTCTTACTGCTGTTGTCACTGTTGTTTAGCAGGCCTGCCTCTAGCAGATGTTGTTCAGCACCTCCTGCCTCCCCACCCCACTGGGTTTGCTTCTGCCCCCTAGATTGCCTACCTTCTTTGGTAGATAACCTGGCTTCATCACTGGGATTATAGATCAGTTTAGAATCAAGGAGAGCCCTGATTCTAAACCTGGGAGCCCAGGGTCCCTGGTTAGAACCTGCCTGCCTCAGTGTATGTGGCCAGCTTCCTAACCACCGTGCTATGGGCACCAAGCCATGTAGCTCATCTTGTTGGGGTAAGGTTGCTTTCTGGGAGAGAAAGGGTGTAGCAGTGGAGACACATGGAGATGGGCAGGAATGGCTGAGTTTTTCTTCTATGTCTCCTTTAAGAAAACATCCTACTAAGACCCCTGGGAAAAAGAGCCAAAGGGAGAAGAGAAGAAAAGGTCTGGGAGGGAACTTCTGTTTTAGCCCTGCCACCTGCCTGGAGGCCCTCTGTCTACTAGTGTTCCCAAGGGGCTTCTTCCCTGGATTCTGCTTTACCCACTAAGGTAAATTTTCTCCACCCTGCTTACAGGCCTGGGTAGTGGGGTGGGGGGGTGAGGGAATTTAAATTCTGCCAAGACCCGGGTTCTGGGAAACACAGGGCAGGAAAGCATAGACGTATAGGTTGGGCCCATAAGGCTGTTTGTGCTTACGGTGGCCAGCACCAGGGCAGATGTGTTGTGGCATCCATCCTGTGGCTGGAGACCTGGCACCACCTCCCCAGCCCCTGCCCAAGTTCTCTAGCTGCTTGCACTTTCCCTTTAGCATAAGTGTGCTGGGAATGATGGTGGCTGGTGCAGCCCCTGCCCGGGGAACCCCATCACAGAGCCGCCTCCTTTTCTTCTTCTGCCCCGGCCTCCCCACCTCAGCTGCTTTCTACTGTGCCCACAGGTGCTCTGGAGCCCTAGGACCATGGACACTCTCAACAGGAACCAGGTAGGACCTGGATGCAAGACCCAGGCCATGGTACAGGTGAGTGGGGTCAGGGCTATGAGGAAAGAGGGCTGTTGAAGAGAATGGGCTCAGCACTTCTACCCCCTTGTGGTCCTGGCCTGAGGTTTAGAGCAGCAGTTCTGTTATTCTCTGCCCTTCCCCAGGTCCCAAACCTATTAATAGCTCCATCTTTATTTGAATCAGGTTAATTGGTTTACCCAGAAAGTACTCTTTGAAAGTCAGGAAGCGTTTTACAGATTGACCCTGGGCTGTGTCGCTCTCCTTGATTCATGCCTCTACCCTCTCTTGTAATTTAGTGTAGTGGGGGCAAGCAGTGGCCAAGTGGATGGCCACTGTCAAATACGCAGGGAGCTCAGTTGGCCCTCTTCTACAGCACCCCCCTTCTTACCTGCCACCACCTGCCACCCCTTTCTCCTTGTTTCTGTTTTAATAAACAAAAAGGGCAGTTAAGCCAAGACTAGAGATAAATCCAGTGGGAAGAGTTGGTGGCCTAGATTCAGATCTAATTATAATTTAGTGGAATAATGCTCTGTGCAAGATTTTGTGCTAAGCCTTTCGGTACCCTCAGAGCCATTTGGAGAGGGCCAAGGGCTGGAGAGTGTGCTGGGACTAGGGTGTTAAGGTGCTGGTCTGGAGTCTCTAATGATGCTCATCCTCCACCCTTACTACCTGCAGAAAGGACCCTTGGACTTGATTGAGACAGGCAAAGGGCTAAAAGTACAAACGGACAAACCCCATCTGGTGAGCCTGGGCAGTGGGCGACTCAGCACTGCCATCACCCTGCTGCCATTGGAGGAAGGTAAGAGTGGTCAGGGCATCCCACCTGCCACCCCTCCATCCTTCTAGGCATTCCTGTCCCAGGCCCAGCTCCTGCATGTGTTGGGGCCTTTTTGCTACATGCTGGCCATGCTCACCTCTTGCCTCCCCACGCCACTGGGTTTGTTTCTGCCCCCCAGATTGCCTACCTTCTTTGGTAGATAACCTGGCTTCATGACTGGGATTAAAGATCAGAGTCTTGAAAGAAACAGGAGAGCACATTGCTCTTAGCAACCAGGGTGGCCAAGAAAAAAGGGGGGGCCCACTCCTGGGTAATGCCCTGCTTGGGAGACTGCACTGCAGGGTAGGTGGTGAATGGAGAGATGGGAGTGGGGGCAAGATCTCCTAGGATAAGGCCCTGGCATGGCCCCCTTCACCTTTCAGCTTCTGTCCTCCCTCTCTCCTCTCCTGGCTGCACTTGTTGCCTGGGTGATACTACATTCCCCACATTCTCCAAATACCAGTCTCAGGGGCTCTGCCAGTGGGGGAGGGGCTGTTTCTGCAAAGCAGTGGGGAGAGCCACTGTACTGAAGAGAAAGGGGGTGAGGGAGGAGAGAGGTTGCAGGTGGCAGAAGGGAGGGAGAGAAGAAGGAGAGAGAGAGATTTAGAAGAGAAGAGGGGTGGGTAGGATGAAGAGGGACAAGAAAAAGGACATAGGGAGAGATAGTGGGGGGGACTAAGAGAAGGTCTGCAGAAAAGAAGCACCCATTTTTTTTTGGCCGGGATTGGGCTTAAACCCACCACCCCCAGTATGTGGGGCCAGCACCCTACTCCTTGAGCCATAGGCACCACCCTAAAGAGGCACCCTTTCTAATCTACCTGTGGAGTCTGGGCCTTCTCATTCTCAGGCAGAGTTTTCTCTGTCCCAGAAGAGCTTCTATCACTTACTGTCTCCATCAAGTTCAGGGGCCAAATAGGGGTGGCCAATGGTAGGCAGAGATTATGCTGGGAGTAGGCAGAAATATATTTCCACGGTGGCCCTCCGTGCCCTGTCTCTGTCTCCTCTGCATGGACCACTCCTCTAACTCAGTTTGTTTCTTGTCTCCAGGAAGGACAGTGATTGGCTCTGCAGCCAGAGACATCTCACTGCAAGGGCCAGGCCTGGCTCCAGAGCACTGCTACATTGAGAACCTGCGGGGCACCCTCACCCTCTACCCTTGTGGCAATGCCTGCACTATTGATGGGCTCCCTGTCCGACAGCCCACACGGCTCACTCAGGGTAAGGCTTGAAACAGACAGGGGGCTCTGGTTAAAAGCCTGTGCCTGATTGCCATGGCAACTGCTTTGTGTGGCCCTTACTGGACATGGGCTGCTCAGGTGCACCTGGATGTGCCTACACACCAATCCAAACCCCTCCAGCTTCCAGACTTGTCTTCAACCTACTTTTCTCTCCTGTCACTCCCAACCTGTCTCCTCAGAACCTCAGAGAAGAGGTTCTGATTCCTGCTATCAGAGCGCCTGGGGCATGGTGTGGTCGTTAGTAGTGGTTTGGGAAGAACAGTTGGAGCAGCAGTGAAGGGTATCAATGGCATTGTTTCACTCCTAGAGGGAATTGTTTTGAGAAGCTGGAGAGGAGGACAATACCTCTTGATGAGGATGAGGCAAGGGCAAATTTTGATGACTTGCTTGCTTCTATCACAAGACTGTTGACAGCTCTGTGTCATGAATAGGCCATTCCCTTGTGTAAGGCAGCTCTAAAACTGAGCTCCTAATTACTATGGTTACTAGGCAGGTAAGGGTTAGCCCAGGTGGCACTTTGACAGACCAGGTGTGTTCACTCTGGAAACAGGGTTCTGGGTGTCTATTCATACAGTGAATCATCAGTTTAGGGGAATGAGAAAAGGAGATTTGGGTGGAGGTTAGAAGTGAGGTTAACAAGAGGATGGGAGCTTTGGGCTAGTCCTGGCTCTGAGCAGGGGAACTGATGGCCAGGCATTGTTTTCTGGGGTCTCTTCCTGGCTAAAAGCCCCTATGCAGTGGAAATTCCACTTATTCCACTGTCTCCTCCTCTCTTGTTTATATCCTTTGGGGGCCTCTCAGAGCCACTCTCTTCACAGCTGATCCAAGAGATCTGACCTTGCCCCATTCTGTTCTTCTTGCCTTTGGGTAGGGGTAGGGCATGAACAACTGACTTCAGGGAGGCAGGTCTACTAGCAGCAGTAGGCAGGCCCTTGCCTTCTCCAGGCTTCAACATCTCCAACTTGTTATGAGAGGAGGAACCACCATACATGGGGGCTTTAGCTATGATGGCATCGGGTTCCTGACAGTCCCGTTCAGTCTTAGAGAGAGCATCTTTTGCCAAGATTTGGGAGCATGCAGGTGAGAGCAGGAAAGAGAGGCAGGGAAAAGTTCAAAGCAGGCCGAGCTCCACCATGTCAGCCCCAAATCCATCACATTCCCATGGGTGGAGGAACCCACGTTCTGTGTGCCTCTCTTGTCCAGCATGCCCACCGCATCATTTAGCTCCCGGAGAAGAGGGAGGGCTTGGGGCCAAGGTGGAATTCTGAAGCATTTTTTTGTGGCCCCAGTGACCCCCAACTCTTCCCCAGCCAGAGACCCACCCTGTTAAGTATGTACCCTCCCACTCTCTTTTGACCTTAAACTTGCTTCCTTTTATCCCCCCTCCCCATAGCCTTCTCGTCTGGGCTTGCCTGTCTCAGAAGCTTGGCAGCCTGTGGAGGGGTAGGCAGAGGCACAAAGGAATGGGTGTTCTTCTCCCCGTCCTCCCCCTCCCCTGGGCTCCAGGAGCTGAGGGTTTCCTTGTCTCATCTCTGGAGCAAGGCACCAAGCCCAGCCCTGCCTGGCCCCACTCCGGACATTCTTGGGAGTGCGTTTCCTTGGAAACTGGGTGGCTCGGGGGCGCATGTGCTATCTCTGTGTGTCTGTATAACTGGAGTGTGTTTATGTACCTCCGGATGTGTTTGTGACTCTGGGCTTGTGTATCTCTGTGTTTGTGTCTTTCCTTGTGTTTACAGATCAGTGTGTTCAAGTGGGCGGCTGGGGTGAACTCAGGACTGATGGTACCAAAATGTCTGCATGTGTACTCCTATGGGTATATGAGAATTTTTTGGCCATATGCCTATCTGTGAGCATTATTTACGAGAGGATCATTTTTCCTGTCTTATTCCCTTTATCTGGCCTTGTAGAGGGGACCCTCTTCTTTGAAAAACAAAAGACTACCCTGGGAATAACAAGGAGCCTGATCTGGCTGGGCCAGCCCATAGATGCATCATTCTGGGCACTGTGCCCAGCCATAGGCAACTTGGAGAGACACACTTCATGACAAGCAGAGATGGCAGTGACAGGCTCTTCCAGCAGTAATACGCCTGGACCAGGAGAGGGGGGAGGTGAGCAGAAAGCAGATGCCAACCTTTAGCACAGAGCTAGGAACATGGGAGTGTGAATGAGGGAGCCAGGAAGATCCTGATTCCACCCCCTATACCCAGGCTTCTTGGCAGATCCTACACTGCCCTCTTCTCCACAGAGTAAGGGGTGGAGCTGGGAATAGGACCAAGGAAATGAAGGGGAATCTCAATCTGGGTCTAGGTTGCCCCACCCTGGGACCATAGTGCCAGACCACATGAAAGATCTGGGAGGGGACTAAGTGGGGGGGGACCCAGAAAGCCACCAGCTCAGGGCCCAGGCTGTCTAGACAGTTAGGTCCCCATCGAGTCCTAGCATTTGCTCCCCTCCTTAGTCTCCAAGTCTCTTCCACTCTCTAATCCCCTTACTGGTGGTAGGGGCTTGTGTGAGGGCCAGTAGAGGAGTGGCTGGGGACACAGCATTCCTGGGTTATCCAGCTGCCTCTTTCTGGAATCCAGCACTTTGAGGCTCTTCCTTTCCCACCCAGTTATTCCTTCTATAGACTGGGAGTGAAGCCTCCAACCTTTCTCTGTTATAAGACTGATAAAGATCTTAACTAATAAAGCTTCAAGGAAGGGGAGCAGAGGGAAAGCTCCTTGCTACACTTTTTTGTGTCTGCCTCCTGCCCTATTTCTCACTGGCAGGCGTCCTCTGTGTATGCCTGGGTCTGTCCAGCTGGCCATCACAGTTTCCAGACTGATGAATCACTCTTCCTGAGATTTTTTTTTAAGCCTCCCCTCATTTTGCATTTGACCCTATATGGTTCTTCCTTTTTCCTTCGAAAGGGGAATAAGATATGTGTACACATGTGAGTGTGTGAATGAACGTGTGTACAGTTGACAGCGTGGTTAAGTCGGGTAGAGGGCTATTTAGCAAGGTGGAAAATTTGCTCGATTATTTCTGTAAGGAGGTTGACTTTTTATTTCAGAGTCTTTCCTTGTGAAAGAATAGTTATGCCTGAGTGTGTATGTCCCTAAGAGGGAGGTTGGTGCCTGGAGGAATGTGAGCATGAGAATAAAGGTGTGTGAGAGACAATGTGTGTGTGTGTGTTTATTATTTTTGTATTTCTTAAGAGACGAGGTCTTGCTCTATTGCCCAGCCTGGAGCACAGTGGTGAGATCATAGCTTACTTCAGCCTTGAATTCCTGGCCCAAGAGGTCCTTCTGACTCAACCTCCCAAGTAACTGGGACTACAGGTGCATGCTACCATGTCCGAATCATTAAATAAAACTTTTTTTTTTTTTTGCAGTTTTGGGCCGGGGCTGGGTTTGAACCTGCCACCTCCAGCATATGGGGCCAGCGCCCTATTCCTTTGAACCATAGTGCTGCCCTAAATAAAGTTTTTTTTTGGAGAAGCAGGGTTTTGCTCTGTTACCTACACTGGGCTTGAACTCCTGGCCTCAAGCAGTCCTCCTACCTTGGCCTCTAAAAGTGCTGAGATTATAGGTGTGAACCACCAGACCAGGCCATTGGAAGTTGTGTTTAACGAAGGCTGGGCACAGTGGCTCATGCCTATAATCCTAGCACTCTAGGAGGCTGAGGCAGATGGATTGCTTGAGCTCAGGAGTTCAAGACCAGCCTGAGCAAGAGTGAGACCCCCATCTCTACTAAAAATAGAAAAACTGGCCAGGCATTGTGGTGGGCGCCTGTAGTCCCAGCTACTCAGGAGGCTGAGGCAAGAGCCAAGGCTTCATAGCCCAGGAGTTTGAGGTTACTGTGAACTATGATGATGCCACGGCATTATACCCATGGTGATAGAGTGAGACTCTATTTCAAAAAAAAAGAAAATATGTTTAATGAGAGTGTATGACTCAGAGTATGCGTAGTTAAGGCAGAATCAGTGTGACTGAGAGAGGGTTGGTGTATATCTGAGAGACAGTGTGTAAGGCTGTGTGAGCGGTTAAGCACATGCAACGTGGCCCATAAGGTCCTGGTACCCCAGGTGCAATGGTCCCTGGGGCAAGAGGAAATTTCTAGAGAACCTGGCTGGGTGGTAGGTACCTGCCTAGCTCAGAATCTCAGTCTGACCCTGGGAGCTGCAGATACTTGTGTTTCACTGATAGGAAGGGTACCTTACTGGGGCTAGCCCAACTGGAATTTGTGGCTGGGGAAAGGTAATATTGGTTTCCAGGACCCCAGGAAGTAGGCTGGCTCCCTTAGGATGGATAAAAGGGTAATGCCTTGGTCCACCTGGGTCAAGGGCTGAGCTGTGGTGAGTGGGGCTTGTAGGGGAGGTGTTTAGGGTGGAGACAGGAGTTGAACTCAGTGCTGCCTTCATTGCACAGAGCACTGATTTAGCCTGAACTCCCAGGCCAGGGTGACCTTGTCACAGTGGCAAGCTGAGGGCCAGGGTGGACCTCGTGACCTAGTTGGATCCTGTGGAGTCCTTGCTCTTTCCCTCTCTCTTACATACGGAGTCCTGGAATGTCAGAGCTGGACATCGGGCAGCGGTCATGAGGCCAGCCTCCTCATTCTATAGATAAGGAATCTAAGGCCAGAGCATGTGACTGGCCCACAGTGACACAGCCGGTCAGGGCTGGGCTGGGCGAGACCCCAGGCCTCTGCCACAGACTTCCTACCAGAGGGCTCTGAGTAGACCCTCCCTGTGCTTCCCTCCTTCCTGCTCGCTGCTTGTTACCCTCTGGCTTCTGTATTGGCCCTTGTCTTTCCCTCCCTCAAGTCACTTTCCTTGAACCTTTCTTCCCACCCCACTTTTCCTCCGGCCCCTGGGGCAGGATCCCAGGGGCTATCTCTCTGCATCCTCCCGCCCCGCCCTCTCCATCCAGCTCCCTACTCTTCTCCTCCATCACTTCCTCTTCCCCTCCTCCTCTCCTTTGTCCCTCCCTCCCTGGCTCCCTTCCCCCTGCCGCTGGTGGCCGGCCCGCCCCTACCCGGGCATTGGCGGCTGCTGGCTGCCTCGCCGCCTCGCCGCCTCGCTGTCTCGCTGCTGCTCGCTTGGAGCCTGGAGCCTGGAGCCGGTGGAACTGGAGGTCGGCCCGCCCCCCACCCAGAGGCCCCGGGCGGGCGGGGGGCTTGGGACCTTGAGGGCCCGAGGTAGCAAGGGTGAGCAGTCTGGAGGTCCAGGTTCGGAGGTGAGTCCTCAACCACCGGCCAGCCAGCCACTGGCAGTCGGGTGTGGAGAAGCTCTGGCTGGGAGGGGTGTTTTAGGGAGGGTGGGCGCCAGGAGGGGGATGGGGACCTCTGCCTGTCTTTGGGAGCTTGAAGCTGTGACACGCGACTGTACGTGTCCTCAACATTTTTAAGTGAGGCTTCTACAGCTTGGGAGCACTTCTCGGAGGGGCAGACCTCATCTTCCCAGTGCTTGGCAGTCCCCTCCTTGGGACCCGCCTCCCTCATTTCCCTCTAACTGGGTTAAAAGGTCCTGGTTAGGATGAAGAGAGTCCGTGGTATGGCCAAGAGGGGTCTATGATGGGAAGAGCCAAGGCCCTTACTTCCATCTTCCCTTCACCCAGCCTCCCTTGGGCCATTCCATTCTATTTGTGTGGCCAGGAGGGCAGTAGTTGTGGCGCTGTGTGTGTGTGTATGCCTGTGAGTCTGTGCGTGTTTGTATGAATGTGTATGAGTGTGATCTATTTGTGCATGGTGCTTCCCCTCTGCATCGCTCAGAGATGAGATCCACCCTCTCCTTTGCCCAGTTTTTCTCCTCCAGATGTGCAGCTTCTCCACCCTCCTGCCCACAGCCAGGCTCTGAGCCCCTCTGGGCATGGAGGATGCAGACCACAACTTTGACTGGAAGGGCAGGACTTCCTGAGAAGAATGGCCTTTTGGGTTGTGGGGTGGGAGTGTGTAGAGAGGGGGCTTCTTTCCAGAAACAGGCTGGCCAGGCCCCCCGGGCTATAGGGGCCAGAGCTGGGGTAATGCTTGGGGCCCCTGAGTGCAAATAGAAAGTTAATTTGGGTAGGAGCTGGGCTGCTCTCAGTCCCACTGCCCTCTTGCCCGCTCTATTAATATGGATCCAGCTCTGCTGCCTGGCATCACTATTTATAGCCCAAAGCAACATGGCCACACCCCCTATGTGGGGGAGAGTGCAGGGCAGAGGAGGGGGACAGGGAAATCATAGCTATAGGTGGCAGGATGGAGGGTCCCTAGATGCCCACAGTCTCCTTGGATGGGTCTGGTACTGCTGGGCTGGAATCCATCCCCACTCCTCGCCTTCTTCCCAGCCTAGACTGTGTGATCAGGCTCCTTATCCCCACCACCCACATGTTTCTCCCCTATCAACCTAGGGTTGAGTGGGTCTGTCTAGACCCTATGAACTCATCATTAATTAGCTTGTTAAATGGCTGAAAGGAGGGAGAGGGGCCCGACAGGGCTCGTTCTGAAACAGCTATGATTGTAATTAGGTGGACAGTGCGGTTGGCTATTATTTATTCTGGTTGTGATTACACAGGGATCAGCTTCTGTTATTGGTGGCTTGGCAGAGAGGTCTCCCCACTTTTCCAGCCACCCATCAGCCTTTAGAATTGTTGGTACCTGTCTGCCTGGGAGGGCCTATACGTGTCCCAAGGTAATAGGTGCTTTGTCCACCACGGTTTTCTGCTATGGGATTCTCAGCCTGCTAGACCTTCCCAAGGCAATACCCAGGGTCCTTGGAACAGGCTCCTGAGCTTCTCAGTAGGGGGCCTTTTAAGGTACCCACGTGGCCCAGGATGCCCCTTGCCCTTGCAGCCTGCCTAAGCTGGACTGTCTCAGCGTCCAGGAATGTGGGCTTCCTTGCCAGTCTTAGCTCAGACTGGCATGAAGCTTAGAATGCCAAGTGGCACCAGCTTGGGTAGATAGGAGCCTGGGATCAGGGGCCAGAGGTATGGACAGACTAGAAAGGTGGGTGATGGACAGTAACAGGGCTATGTCTTCTCAACGTTGCATCTTCTGCAGGAGCCCTTGAACACCTGGTGTGGCCAGGAAGTGGAGTTCTGCCAGCCGGGCTTAGGTGCCTATGGGCACACCTGCCGCTGTGCACACTCCTAGTGCCCCTGGCTACATTTTCTGGCTTCCATGCACACACCCCACTCCATGTACTTGTACTTCCAGGGCAGGCATGGGCTTGTGTCTGCTGCCTGCAAATATGCCTGGCCAAGGCCAGGCCCAGTGGCCTAGCCTTGACTGGATTCCAGAGACCAGGGAGCAGTCAGGGGTACTTTGTCAGAAAAAAACAGGATGATGGTTACTCCCTAGACACTCAGAGAGGGTGATAGGTCTCCTAATGCCACACAACAACAAGTAGAGGACAAATTCTGGTCATCCCCCTCCCAGTCATCTGACTAATCCATAGTTCTTCCCTTGTCCTTTAATTCAGACTTTTCTGGGGACGCTGGAAGTTGCTGCTTCTCAAACTGACCCTTCTGACCAAGGGGCAGATAGATGGATCAGGGGTGGATTGGGAGGCCATGGGTGTGTATGTTTTCTGAAGACCTTTCTCCAATCGCAATGTACTTTCACATATACTGTCTTATTAACCTGAAAGGTCAGTGGTATTATTCCCGTTTCTCTGATGAGAGAATTAGAGGTGGAGGTGAACTGACTTCACCCATAGATTTCATAGCTACTAAGGCGTTAGGATGGGGACTCTGTTCTTGGGACATGATCTTTCTTCTCTGTCCCATGCTGTAGAACCCTTGAGGTGCCTATATCAAGCACAGGCAGGGGCGGGTGTGGATTGTGTGGACTCTTCAGAGCCTGGGGTGAGCCTGTTAGTGCTGTGGGGTGGAGGTGGTTTCAGCCCTGCCTGCTCTGCCAAGCATTTGCTTTCTCTGCAGGCTGCATGTTGTGCCTGGGTCAGTCCACTTTCCTCCGCTTTAACCACCCGGCTGAAGCCAAGTGGATGAAGAGCATGATTCCAGCAGGGGGCCGGGCCCCTGGGCACCCCTACAGCCCTGGCCCTGGTAAGTACCCAGCTGGGGCTAGGGATTGGGTTGGTGGTACCTCTTGGACAGTCCTCCTCCTTGCCCACTTCATTCACACTGGAGCGGGACAGTACCTATGGTCTGGGCTCATTGCCAACTGCCATAGGATGGTAGAGAATGCCAGGCGAACACTGGGAGAGATGCAAGGCAGTTCTGCTTAGCTAAAATTGGGGAATTGTACCTTGAGGAAAGGAGGGTTCTTCCAGCTTGTATCCTACTGCCCAGGAGGATGCTACTCAGTGTCTGGGACCCCAGTCAACTACGTCACCACCAGGGAGTCTTACCTTTGAGGTGGCCTGAGGGGGCAGAAGGAAGCATTAGGTTGGACCCCCTAGTAAGCTCTGGTGTGTCCCACCTGCAGATGATCATGTCCTTGGGCCCTGCCCAGCTCTTAGGCCATGTCATACCCACTGATGATTCAATGGGACAGCTGCAGTTTGTGTGTGAATTATTGATCTTTAGAGAAGAATTGCTGATTGTTCCAGGGAACCAACACAGGCCTCCCCAGCCCAGCTGCCTGGGGGGTGGGGTGTATACCAGGAGGCCACCAGTGATCCTACCACCCCAGACTTTACACTGGCATTCAGATGGCTGTGGGATGACAGGTGCCAGTGTGGTGCTGGGACAGGGGACGTGACACGTATGTTAAGTATACCTAGTTGGTTGGTATCAGTGACCTAAATGTATAGTCTGGGGACTTGAGGAAAAGTAGGTGATTACTGGGATCACTTAGTGTCCATGGGAGCCCTTCTGACTGTATCTCTCACAATCCTCATAATATTGGACCCAAACGCAGTCTTTTTTTTTTTTTTTTTTGAGACAGAGTCTCATTATGTTGCCCTTGGTAGGATGCTGTGGCATCATAGCTCACAGCAACCTCAAATTCTTGGGCTTAAGCAATTCTCTTGCCTCAGCCTCCCAAGTAGCTAGAACTACAGGTGCCTGCCACAACACCTAGCTACTTTTTGGCTGTAGTTGTTGTTGTTTGGCAGGCCTGGCAGGCCTGGGATGGGTTCGAGCCCACCAGCTCCAGTGTATGTGGCTGGCTCCCTAGCCACTGAGCTACAGGTGCTGAGCCCCAAATTCAGTCTTATAAAGGCTTTCACTTGCTTCCCTATGCCCAGTTGTTTCCAGTTCCCTGAGGGCTCGGAATCTGGGTGCCCAGTCCACTCCCTAGTTAATTTTACCCTGCTCCAAACCCAGCCTCGTCATGCCACTCCTTAGTTGTTTGGGGCAGTGGTTCCAGGGAGTCCTGGTTGGTTGACTAGGGCTGGGGCAGGGCAAAGGCAGGATGTTGGCGTGGCTTAATAAGATAATTGGAGGCACTGGGCTGCACCTAGTTGCTGGCCAGCCTGGCTTCCAGGAACCAGCCATTAGCACCAGATCCCTCCCCTGCCTCTGACTGGACAAAGTGTGCAGCACACACCTCTTGCCTAGCCCTGGAAGCTTTGGGTTTTTTTCCCCCTGGGCCTCTGGTTCCTGCATTGGGAGGCCCTGATGTCCTATTAGACTAGAAGGCCCTGGAACTTCTAGTCAGCTCTTCCAGCTCCAGCTCCTTTTCACAACGTCCGCTCAGGAGCCCATCCTAAGAATATAGGAAATTGGGGGAGCCAAGGCAGGGAGGATTCTAGTCTTGGGTACATGGGCATCCACTTGGCTTTGAAGTGTCTGACATTGTTGCTAACTCTGTTCTAAATCATTAAATGTAGTGGCAGAAGGACCCTGCCCATCCCTTCCCTTTATGGAAGGGGAAACTTGGCCAGACTTGGTTGCATGGCAGGTCAGTGGCAGAGCAGGATGGTGCCAGAACCCAGATCCCCTAGCTGCTTCTTCAGAGACTTTGTAGCCTCACTGTGTTAGGAAAAAGTGGGGTAGTGCCCTCTGTTTTATGCATTTCCAGCTCCCCAAATCAGAACTAAGGCTTATTTGCATTTCCTTTCAGTGGAATCAGAGAGTCTGGTGAATGGGAACCACACGCCACAGCCTGCAACCCGGGGACCTGCGGCCTGTGCCAGCCACAGTTCCCTGGTGAGCTCTATTGAGAAAGACTTGCAGGAGATCATGGACTCTCTGGTGCTAGAGGAGCCTGGAGCTGGTGGCAAGAAGCCTGCTGCAACCTCTCCATTGTCGCCCATGGCTAATGGAGGGCGCTACCTGCTGTCCCCTCCAACCAGCCCTGGTGCCATGTCTGTGGGTTCCAGCTATGAGAACACCTCTCCAGCCTTCTCTCCACTCTCCTCACCAGCCAGCAGTGGAAGCTGTGCCAGTCACTCACCTAGTGGGCAGGAGCCAGGACCTTCTGTGCCTCCGCTGGTGCCCGCCCGTTCCTCCAGCTACCATCTGGCTCTGCAACCCCCACAGTCCCGCCCAAGTGGTACACGCTCCTCTGAGAGCCCTCGGTTGGGCAGGAAAGGGGGTCATGAGCGGCCTCCAAGCCCTGGCCTCCGTGGTCTGCTGACAGACAGTCCTGCAGCTACTGTCTTGGCAGAGGCCCGCAGAGCTACCGAGAGCCCCCGGCTGGGTGGGCAGCTGCCTGTGGTGGCTATTAGCCTGAGTGAATACCCAGCTTCCGGTGCTCGCAGCCAACCCACCAGCATTCCTGGCAGCCCCAAGTTCCAGTCTCCAGTCCCTGCTCCCCGCAACAAGATTGGCACACTCCAGGACCGCCCTCCTAGCCCTTTCCGTGAGCCTCCAGGCACTGACCGGGTGCTGACAACCAGCCCTTCACGCCAACTGGTGGGCCGGACATTTTCAGATGGGTTAGCCACCCGCAACTTGCAGCCTCCTGAGAGTCCCCGCATGGGTCGGCGGGGCCTGGATAGTATGCGAGAACTCCCTCCATTGAGCCCATCTCTGTCCCGACGAGCTCTCTCCCCACTGCCCACCCGGACCACCCCAGATCCCAAACTAACCAGGGAAGTGGCAGACAGTCCTCGGCCCCGGCGCTGGGGAGCTCAGGGGGCTTCACCAGAAGACTTCTCCCTGACACTGGGGGCACGGGGCCATAGGACAAGGAGCCCCTCACCCACATTGGGGGAGTCTCTGGGTCCCCGCAAGGGCAGCTTCAGTGGCAGGCTGAGCCCAGCCTACAGTCTGGGTTCTCTCACTGGGGCTTCGCCCCGCCAGAGCCCCTGTGCCCAGAGGAAGCTCTCCAGTGGGGACTTGCGGGTGCCAATCACGCGGGAGCGGAAAAACAGCATCACAGAGATCAGTGACAACGAGGATGACCTCCTGGAGTATCACCGGCGGCAGCGCCAAGAGCGGCTCCGGGAGCAGGAGATGGAGAGGCTGGTGAGCAGATTATAGAGAGGCTGCCACCATTCATGGCAGGGGCTCCGCCAGGCCTTGGGCAGGGCAGCTGGTCAAGCGGGAGGACAGGCCTGGGCTTCTCAAGCTTCTCCACCTCCAGGATACACCTTAGTGACCAGTATCTCATGGTTCTGGTGCCCTGATGAAGATTCTTTTGAAATCTCAGGCTTTATTTTAAATCCATGCTAATTTTGCATTTATTCTACGGCGTAGTATTTGTTAGTATTTGTTTTCATATATAAATTAGATTATATGTGTTATTTACCTGAGCACAGTGAAGCTCTAGGAAAATGTGCCACATTTATGGTGAGACCTTGCCCCTCTCAGTTTGAGAAGCAGCTGAGGCCAGATAAGATGATGAGAAGGCTGAGGCCAGAGAGGGGAATGGGTTTGTCTGAAGTCACACAGCAAGTTCTTACAGAGCTGGAATTGGAACCCAAATCTTCTGTCTTTTTTTTGAGACAGAGTCTCACTCTGTTGCCTTTGGGTAGAGTGCTGTAGCATCATAGCTCATACCAACCTCAAACTCTTGGACTCAAGGGATCCTCTTGTTTCAACCTCCTGAGTAGCTAGGACTACAGGTGCCCGCCATGACACCTGGCTAGTTCTATTTTTAGTAGAGATGGGGTCTTGCTCTTGTTCAGATTGGTCTCAAACTCCTGAGCTCAAGCAATTCACCTGCCTCGGCCTCCCAGAGTGCTAGGATTACATGTGTGAGCCACTGCACCTGGCCAATCTGTCGTTTTTGACTCTGAGACTTGTTCTTCAGAAAAGTCCCTGGTCCTTCTCTTTGGCCTCTGCAAAGAGATGACCCTGGCTCGGCGCCTGTGGCTCAAGTGGCTAAGGCGCCAGCCACATACACCTAAGGTGGTGGGTTCAAATCCAGCCCAGGCCTGCCAAACAACAATGATGGCTGCAATCAAAAAATAGCGGGCGTTGTGGTGGGCGCCTGTGGTCCCAGCTACTTGGGAGGCAGAGGCAGGAGACTTGCTTGAGCCCAGGAGTTGGAGGTTGCTGTGAGCTGTGATGCCATGGCATTCTACCCAGGGCAACAGCCTGAGGCTCTGTCTCAAAAAAAAAAAAAAAAAGAGATGACCCTGCTGGCCCAGGCAGGATCATCTGGGAGTATGGGTGCCAGGGAAGAGGGAGAGAACAGGGTGGGCAGCCCCTGGCCTGACTCCAGGCCAGCCTGTATGACTGTGATTGTGTATGTCTGTGTGCATGTGTGTGGGTGCATGCAGGGGCTGGGTGTGGCTCTGCCCAGCTGTCTGAGGATGGCATCTGAGCCTGGTGGGGGCCAGGATTCCCCAGATAGCGCAGGGAGCTTAAGGGCTCTGGCTGGTGTGCACACACTTGAGCTCATGTATAGGAGAATGGATTCTGCCCTTTCTTCTTTGTGAGCAGAACAGAGTTCTTGGGGGCAGAGGCAGGAATCCCGGGATTGGTTTGAGGAGGAGAACCAGAACTGAAGTGGTTTGTCTGGAAACCCTTTCAGAAAAGGTTGGGATGGTTTGGGGTGAGGGTGTCAGTGTTTGTGTTGGGTGGGGAGAGATGAGGCAAGATCCCTAGTCTTTTCCTTTGCTGTATTCGCTCTTCACTATCTTTGCCTAGATGAGAATGCTGCCACCCTAGGGTCTCCCACTGGAGAGGGGGCAGTGAGACTGGCACAGGCAGAGTGGTCGGCCCAGCCTCCCCACCCCATCCCCACACACAAACACACACTTCACCTCCAGTCCTGACCTGCTCCACCTGCCACTTTAAGTCTGGGAGGCTGCTATCCTGCCCCTCCCACCTCAACCTGGTTGCTTATCTGGGTCCTGGGGCTGGGGCAGGGGCGGGGACACTGGCCCAGCCTCCTGGGTACAGAGGCTCTGTTCCTGGTTTTTTTGCCATGGAACTGGGCAAGCGGCAGCAGGGAAGCAGGGTAAGTGTCTGGAGGCATCACGGACAAATAAAAGGTGGTGAAAGACACCTGAGAAGGTAGAGGGACCCTAGAGGGCCAAGGGAGGCCCAGGGGCTGGGTCTCAGGACTGGGGTATTATAAGTGGGGGAGGGGAGGAATACTGGGAATATGATTCTACCATCTGACCTAGGCCCCTAAGAGGTGACTGTATCAGATGGGGTATGATGGGGAGGGGGCTGACTCAGTAGCAGGGCCATGGAGCACTCACAACCTGGGCCTGGGCATTTAGGGACTGGCAGCAGCCCACTCTGCTGATAAGGAGCCAAGGGCTGCTTAAGGAGCTGGGGACCATGTCCCAGGTCTGCCTCTGTTCCCCATGTGTTTGTGGCTAGGTGTCCGATCCCTGTGGGCTCATGAGTCTGTTTTCCTCTCCGTCTGTGTTGGTGTCCCTCCCAGCCCGGTCTGTATGCTAGACTGTTTTTATCTGTGTGTGTGGCAGTGTGCATTTGTGCATGTCAGGGCGGGTGCCTTTGTACCTGCCTGTTAATGCAGGGTCAGTACATGAGTTGTGTCCTTGTGTGCCAGTGTGCCAGTGTGCTCTTGTGCCTGTAGATCTGTGTGGACTGGGTCAGCATTGGCACCCGGTTTATGTGTATCTCACTGTGGTCTTTAGTCTGTGTTTCCATGTGTGTTTGGGTGTGTTCCTGGGTGTCCACAAGGAAGCCCCATTCTACAGTAGAATGAGAAGGGAGAGGAAACAGGAAGATGGAGAGGCCGGCCACGTGGGCAGGTGGCACATTGGCCTGATTCCTCCCACCCACTTCTGAGGTACCCTGCGTCCCTCTACTACCCCCAGATCTTGGGGTTGAGGCTCTCCTGACTGAAGCCTGAGTCCCAAGTGCCTCGTGTCCTCACTGTCCCTCTTCAGGGCCCTAAGCCTGCACCTCACCAGGGTCTAGACTCCTTCTCTCCATGCCCTATTCTGTCCACCCTCCGCAGGAACGCCAGCGCCTGGAGACCATCCTGAACCTGTGTGCCGAGTACAGCCGGGCTGATGGTGGACCTGAAGGTGGGGAGCTGCCCAGTATTGGGGAGGCCACTGCAGCATTGGCGCTGGCAGGCCGGAGGCCCTCACGAGGCCTTGCAGGGGCCACTGGGCCTTCTGGGCGGAGCAGCGAGGAGCCTGGAGGTGCCACCCAACGCCTGTGGGAGAGTGTGGAGCGCTCAGATGAGGAAAATCTCAAGGAGGAGTGCAGCAGCACAGAAAGCACCCAGCAGGAGGTGGCTGGAGGGGAGGGCAGTGCAAGGGGGCTGGTGTCAGACCTTTGGGGAGCTTGGAGGCTGTTGTGAATGTCAAGGCCCAGTGAGGAGGAAGTAGTTGAAAGATCAAGTTTGGGAGGAAATTGGAGACCAGAGGTGGAGGCAAGGAAGGGAAAGATGTCAATGAGTTTCTCAAACTATAAATATGTTTTATGACCTGCCTTTCCTTGGGGCCCCACCCAGGCCTGGCACTCAGGAGTAATATTCCCTTTGGCCTTTAATCAAGTATTCCCTTATTGTTCCCTTGGCAGGGAGGGGAATTAGCGTCCTGTCCCAGTCCATCTACCTTTCCCAAATGCCTTGAGGAATAGGTGATCCATTCACTTAGTCTGATTCTAGCAGGCTCCAGGCTTCCCTGGTTGATGGCTTCCCTCCTCTCCAGCATGAAGATTCACCTAGCTCCAAGCTGCAGGGAGAGGTGCTGGTCCTGGAGGAGGAGCGGGCTCTGGTCCTGGGGCGTGTGGAGAAGCTCAAAGTTCGCGTGAAGGAGTTAGAGCAGCAGCTACAGGAATCAGCCCGAGAGGTGAGCTATGAGGGTCGTGAGGGTGCTGGGGGGATGCCTCCTAGGCCTTGTGAAAGCCCCAGAGAGGGGCTTGAGTCTTGCTACGTTGATGGGGACTCTGGTGTTTTCCCCCAGGCTGAAATGGAGCGGGCACTGCTGCAGGGGGAGAGGGAGGCCGAGCGAGCCCTGCTGCAGAAGGAGCAGAAGGCAGTGGAGCAGCTGCAGGAGAAGCTGGTGGCCTTGGAGACTGGCATCCAGAAGGAGAGGGACAAGGTAACCCACATCTGGTCCAGCCCAGTGCTGGGTACCACCGGCCTGGGAGAGAAAGAAAAATGTGTTCTCTGGGGCCCTGCACCTTGCAAGCGTCATCCATCCTGCAGACCACATGGTCTCTGTGGCCCTTCAAGGACAGGGTCCTTGTCCTCTGAGGAAGGTACCAGCTTGGAGGGCACTGCCAGGGGCTGGGCTGGTACCTGGGGTCTCCTCTGTCTGGGTCTCAGTGCTACCTCTGGGTGTCTGGGTGCCTGCCATTTTGGGCCCTTCATGGCCCTCCTAGGAAGTGCCAAAGCCCCATCTTGGCCAGTGAGGAAGCCCAGTGGGCTGATGCTGGGGAGTGATTCAGGTTTGGGGTACCCTCCTTCCCCCCAGAGACTGTTTCTCTCCATGCATGCCTTAGGTGGCTAGGTTGCGGTCTTTGGGAAATGGCCCTCGGGCCTCTGCTTGCCCTGAGCCTTCAGGATCTGTAGCCTCTCATCCTAGATGGTCCCAGCTCCTGCCCCTGCCCCTTTCAGATTTCGTGCCAGCCTGCAGGGGCCACTCCATCCCACAGGGGCCGTGCCAGCCACGCCCAAGATGCCCAACAACGTGCCAAAAGCTCTGAAGTGGAGAGGGGCCATCTATTACTGGATTTGACAGAATTTTTCCAAGAATCTATTTTTCCTTCTGGATTTTTTGAGAGTATCTTCTTCCTGCCCACTATTTGAAGGATTTTAAAAATTCTTTGACTTTTTTTTTTTTTCGAGCTTTGGCTCTGGCCCCCAAAACCACACTCCCAAATTCTGTGCCAAATTAACTCCATGCTTACCAACCAGGCCTGCACTAACGCCCCCTCTAATTACTGCCCTGGGCTCTCCGCATGCCCCTAACTGTCAGTGCCACCCAGGCAGGGCTGAGCCATGCTCGCTTTTGCACTAACTCTGTGGGTGCCTCTGTGCCCCTGGACACTCCCTTCTAATGCTGCCTCCTTTTCTTAGTATGGGACCCCAAGGTTTTGACCAGAAAGGAATTGGCAGGAGGGCACAGCTCAGTTACACTCAGTGGGACAGTGGCAAGAGGGGTACAAGGGTGGGGGAAATGCTTGGCTGTGGAGTTGCTCAGCCTGAAGAGCTCCTCCCATTGGAAATACCTGGGCTGCTGCCTAAGGAGAGCATGAGATAACCCAAAGAAACCTCCTGGCAGCTTCCTGCACAGCGGGGGGACGCTGTCTTCCACCCATCCCACTGCCTGCCCTCAGGAGCCAAGGGGTAAGGAGGTTAAGTTGTGGGCATGGCCTTGGAGGGCTTGGACAGGGCCTCTCTGCCAACACAGCGGCTGTCCTTCCTGCCTTTCCCCTCAGACTTCCCGAATTCAGATACCCCAATCAGAGGGTGGGAATGGGTGACCTTCACTTCTTCTATCCCCAAGGGCATAGAACACAGGGCATTTTAAAGGCTGACCCCAAGGATAAGGAAGTACTTGGACCCCAGGAACTGGCCTGATTAGGTCCCCCTCTCTGGGGATGGGTAGGTGGGTTGGGTAGAAGGGTGGGTTATGGGGGCACAGGGTTCAGCATAGAGGCTTACTCTCAGGCATTTTGGAAAGTGCCTAACCTCAATCCCCTTTGACCTGGGATTGCCTGGAGGCCTGGATTTCATCTTCTCTCTGGGGAAGAGAGAAGTGATTTGAGGTGGTAGTGATGGCGGTGGTGGGGAAGGTTCATTGGGTTTCCCTTTCCACCCTCTAGCCCATGGCCCAGCTCTGGCTTTGGAATCAGTAATTACAGTTTCTCCTCTGCCTGTCCTTCGGAGGGGTGACTCACAAACTCCTCCTCTCATCCCCCTTCCCGCCCTCGGAGGTGTCATCTCGCCCCAGACAGAACCATCCACCTCCTCTCTGTACCCTCTCCTAGGGCTCCTATTACCATGGCAACGGCCTGAACTAATTGCAACCTTCATCCCTACTTAAGTTCAGCCTTGCAGTGCCACCCCACCCCCACCAGGCAAAGGAAAGGGAGGCCAAGGGGGTTGGGCTGGGGTCCCCTCTGCTGCGCTGCTGTGGCTCTAACATCCCTGACTCCTGATTCACACCAGCCCTTGGATTTAACACTGGCCATCACCGCCCTTTTCCCCAGGGTTAAATTTTGGTCTCTAAGCCGTGGTAAAAGGGGAGGAACGGGAGCTCAAGGCTCTGATTTTGTGATGCAGAACCAGCTTTGGCCTTGACTGGTTTGGAGAGAAAACAGAGGGCCTTTTCTTAGGACCCAGTTCAAGAGACCAGAATCTCTGCCCTGCCCCCACACCTCTACCTGTGTTACCTGGCGCTGGCACCTGAGTCCCGCACCTGAGTCCCGTCTTACCCCTCAGCTCGGCTTGGCCCTCTCCCTCCTCACCTCCTTCCCTCCTCATTTCCCCTTTCTCCTCTTCTCTGTCTCCTCTCCCGTGTACTCTCCGCTTTGATTCCTCCTCCTTTGCTTCTCGTCCCCTGCTCCCCTCGTCTCTGTCCCGCCCGGGCCGCCCTCCCGCCGCGCCCCTCCCGCCGCTGGCGGGCCGGAGTTGAGGAGTGTGTGTTCTGTTTCTCCCCTGTGCCGCCCTCTCCCTCGCCCTCCCGCCTACCAGGAGAGGGCGGAGCTGGCCGCGGGACGGAGGCACCTGGAGGCCCGCCAGGCGCTCTACGCCGAGCTCCAGACGCAGCTCGATAACTGCCCCGAGTCAGTGCGGGAACAGTTACAGGAGCAGCTGAGAAGGGTCAGTTCCACCAGCCCCCCCACCCCGGCCCCCGCGGGCCACCCGCCCAGAGAAGAGAGGAGAGCGGTGGGACGGGACCACCTGGCCCCTGCAGTACCTGCCGGACACCAGAGTCGGTGCTGTGGCTTGGAGGGGACAGGAAAGACTGGGGGGATCAGCGCTCTAGGCCGTGATGCCCGAGAAAGGGGCAAGGCCAAGCAGAGCAGAGGAGGTTGGGTGGGGGCAGGTTTTTCCCCCAACTTCCCCGGGTCCAGCCCCCTCACAGCACATGCCCCTGTGGCCTGGCCTTCCAGGCGCAGAGTGGCATTGCGAGCACCACCCAACCCTCTTTGTCACTGTTGTTGAAGGAGGCAGAGGCCCTGGAGACAGAGACAAAACTCTTTGAGGACTTGGAGTTCCAGCAGCTGGAGCGGGAGAGCCGCGTGGAGGAGGAACGCGAGCTGGCTGGCCAGGGGCTGCTCCGGAGCAAGGCTGAGCTTCTGCGCAGCATCGCCAAGAGGAAGGTGTGCCCCTGCCCTGGTGCCTGCCGTGTGGCACGCCGCCACCCCAGCACGTGGAGGCCAGGGACCTGGGTTTGAATCGCAGTCCATGACCTCACAAAAGTTAGCTCCACCTTTTTGTGCCTCTGTTTCCTCATCTGTAACGAGGAATAATGAGAATTATGACAGGCTGTTGTGACAGTTAAACAAGATGTGAAGACAGAGTAGGATATGACCGTAGTAAGCACTCAGTGAAAGATTGCTATTATTATTACCTGGTGACTCCCTTCAGTGTTCAGTGGAAAGTGGGTTCGGATTGCTGGGGAACAGAGGGGCAGGGTGGTGGAAGCTGGAGACGGAGGAGGAGGAGGAGGCTTGCCCTGCCCTTGTAGAGCTCTCTGTTGATGGAAGTGCTGCAACAGATTTGAGATCTGGATATCGGAGCCAGCCTGGGGCCTCAGAAAGGGCATCCATCTAGGTTGCTGCCCTGCCTCAGCTTTGGTTTGGCTAAACTACAAAACAAGTGGCATGGGCATTGTGTCCTGGCCAGCTGTGACAGTAGGTGCTGTAACTGTCTGCTCCTGATCTCAGCCAGCCTGGTACAGACGGTGACCGGGTGAGGGGGCAGGTGGTTGAGTGTGGAGGAGCAGGGAGTCTAGTCAGGAGGAGGCATGGCTAGCAAGGGTTTGGAAGTAGAGGAGGAGGCTGGTTGATGGCCCAAGCAGCACGTGCTTCTGTGGTTGAAGCTTGTGTCCATGCACACATGTGCTGGCCCGTGCAGTTTGCCTGAATGGAGTGTATTCGGCAGATGAGAACAGTGAGATCAGGGGAGGGATGTCCAAAAGTGGTGAGTTGGGGGATTTGCTGGCCAGCGGAGTTTGGTGATAAGTAGGGAGATGAGTCCCTACTCCTCCCTTGAATCCACATCCTTTGCTCCTTTCCCTGAGCTGCTTTGCTGGGCAAATGCCTCCACTTTCTGGATGTCAGGCTGCTTATTGAAAGGAAGGAAGAAAACTGACATTTCCCAAGCACATGAGTGTGTGCCAGGCACCTTGCCAGCAGGCTTCCTTGGATTATCTCATGCTGTCCTCAGGATGGTCTCACAAGGCAGGCTTGCTTATCTCCATTTTATAGACAAGAAACCAGGGCTAATAGCTACATAGTTATGCAAAGCCTCCCAGAATATAAGCTCCAGAATCAGAACTAGAACTCTAAATTTTTTTTTTTTTTTTTTTTTTTTTTGAGATAGAGTTTCATTCTGTTGCTGTGGATAGAGTGCTCTGGCGTCATCAGAGCTCACAGCAACCTCAAACTCTTGGACTCAAGCAATCCTCTTGCCTCAGCCTCTCAAGTAGCTGGCCCACCACAATGCCCCACTAATTTTTCCACTTTTAGTAGACATAGAGTCTTGCTCTTACTCGGGCTGGTCTCAAACTCATGAGCTCAAGCAATCTGCCCATCTTGGCCTCTTAGAATGCTAGGATAACAGGCATGAACCATCACATCTGGCCTAGAACTCCAAATTCTATGTTCCTTCTCCTCTACTATACTGGGGGTAAGGGGTGGGACTTCTCCGGCCTCTTCCCTCCTGGAGGGAATGTAGCAGAGAGATATAGATCAGCTAATGTCATCCCTTTGGGGACCTAGTAGGTATAAATTCAGGGAGTTGGGGAGAAGCAGCAATAGTAGATTCCTATTCCCATGCCCACCCTGGCCCCGGGGAAACAGTGGCTCAGCCCTTGAGGCCTGGGGGGATCACATTTTTCCTCATGTTCCTCTTCATGAACCTTGCCCAGCTTTTATTTCCCAGCCCCCCACATCCTACCCCAGCCTATGTCCCCCTGTCCTCTCCACCTGATTTAGAGTGGTTGAGATTAGTGGCCTTGGAGTCCAATAGATCTGATTCTAATCCTAGCTCTACCACTTACTTGCTAAGAGACCTTAGCTCCTAAATATGTCAGTATTCTCACCTATAAAATGGATATAAAGTCACCTGCCCATAAGGGGGTTAAAAGAGGAAACAAAAGCAAAACATTTAGCAGAGTTCCTAGCTCCTAATGTATTGCTAAGTGGGAGCTCTTGCTGTGAGGATTGTAGCCTACTTCAGTCTCCTCTTGGATTGACCCCAGATTTAGGACACTTTCTTCTTCATGCCTCTCTCTCCCACATGGTGGTGAAGTAGCTTAAAGTCACCTCTTTCAGGAAGCCCTCCTGAGAATAACCCTGCCCAGTCCCCTCATTCCCCATTCTCAACTCATTTCCTCTTAGCACGTGATTTTTGAGCCAGGCACTGTACTAAAAGCCCTGCTGGGAATATGGAGACAGAAAAGACCCTGGCCTTGCCTTGGGTCTTATATTTGGGGTGGGATGGTGGTAAACGGATATATTCACAAATAATGATAATACAAGGCAGATGGTGATATGGAATAATGTGAACACAGAGGAGGGAGCAAAGAAATTGAGTGGTACTCAAGGAAGCCTTTGGAGAGGAAGTAGCATTTAGTCTGGTCTTAGAGGATAAGTAAGATTTTAATTGGCAGAGAAGATGCGGACAGCTCTCCTGGGCTAAGGGAATGGCACAAGGAAGGCGTGAAAGCCCACAGCTCTGCAGCTGAGTGTACATCATGACTGAGCTGAGAGGACATGGGCAGCAGGGGGACCTGCAAAGCTTAGGACCAGTTCTGGAACTATTTTTTTTCCTGAGACAGTTTCATTTTGTCACCCTGGGTAGAGTGCTGTGGCATCATAGCTTATAGCAACCTCCAGCCCTTGGGCTCAAGTGACTCTCTTGCCTCAGCCTCCCAAGTAGTTGGGACTATAGGCACCTGCTACAACACCGGGCTATTTTTGGAGATGAAGTTTTGCTCTTGCTCAGCCTGGTCTCAAACCTGTGAACTCAGGGCAATCTACCTGCCTCAGCCTCCAGAAGTGCTAGGATTACAGGTGTGAGCCACTGCACCTGGTCCAAAGTTCTGGCGCTTTTGAATGCTGGGTAAGGGGTTGGTGGGTACTGAGGAGCCACTGAAAGACTTTGAGGAGAGGAATGATCTGACGTTCCTTGTGGATTTCTAAAAATTGGCCAGGTGTGGTGGCTCATGCCTATAATCCCAGGATTTTGATGCAGTTTTCATTGTTGTTTTAGCTGGCCTGGGCTGGGTTCAAACCCACCAACCTTGGTGTATGTGGTCGGCACCCTACCCACTGAACTATAGGTGCCACCCAGTCCCAGAATTTTGAGAGGCTGAGGTGGGAGGATCAGTTGAGGCTAAGAATTCAAGACCAAACTGGGCAACACAGTGAGACCCTGTCTCTACAAAAACAATAACAAAAAAATTAACCAAGTATTGTGGTGCCTGGTTGGAGTCCCACCTACTCAGGAGGCTAAGGTGGGTGGGTCACTTGAGCCTAGGGGTTTGAAGTTATAGTGAACTATGATCATACTAATGCACTCTAGCCTGGGCAAGAGAGTGAGACCTTGTTTCTAAAAAAAATGATTCAAGTAATATTTCTTTTTAGAAAGTAATTTTGGCTCGGTGCCTGTGGCTCAAGTGGCTAAGGTGCCAGCCACATACACCTAAGGTGGCAGGTTCAAATCCAACCTGGGCCTGCCAAACAACAATGATGGCTGCAACCAAAAAATAGCCGGGCATTGTGGCGGGCGCCTGTGGTCCCAGCTACTTGGGAGGCTGAGGCAGG